TAGATGATTTTTCAGGAAAGTTATAGAGGTAATGGGATTAGTAGTAATAGCGATGAAGAAGCGGTAAGGTAGAACAGTTCTGGGAGGACGTTTAGGTATGGATGCCCACTGGATAGAATTCAAAGGTCACTCAGAAGAAGCGGCGACTGAGGAGAAAAATGTTAATACAGACGAAGGTATAGAGAAACTCCAACCTTTAAGGAGATAAAGTCAGACTCAGTGAGAACCAAATCGACTGAATCTGTGAGAGAATGTTACTGGGTGAATAAGTGAATGAGAACTGAGTGACGGAGTGTAGACTTATAATTAGTAAGGTGTAGATGAATGACTAAGGATGGATATAATTAGAATAATGATAATGCATTTGAGCAAATCAAAGGAGTGCCGTTACTTTAAGAGCCGGGGTAAACTCTCTTTGAGCCAAATAATGTTTTAGTCGAACTAGTGTCTATCTTTGACCCGGATTGACAGTAGATGACGGATGAACTAAATTTTGTTTTCACTTCCTTTTGATTTACTCTATTATTTTAGTCTTAATTTTTTGATGAATGTACTGATCGTTTCACCGTATTGCAAATGATCGATATTAGTTCTAAGTAGGAGAGTCCACACACCTTACGTCAGTTCTTGGCAATAAGATGAGAAAAGGCAGCACGATCTCGATTTTCTCAATAGTTGCTATCTTGCTGGGCATGCATTATTTTGTAACCAGGATAATCGCGTACAATTGCAGTGATGAGAGAGTGAACATTTCGACTGTATCTCTTAGAGACGTCAGAAAGTATCCAGAATCAGAATCTACGTACTTGAGCGACTTCAGAATGATGCATCACTGTGGGATGCATAATCAGACTTTTTTGGTGGAAGGAGAACTGTCGAGTTATGTAGACAGTAACAAAACGTTGGAATCTTGTTAGTTATTGGACAAATAACCTTGAATTATTTAACCAGCGCCACGCCACGTTAACGCTATTGGGATCAATGGATAGTACCTGGACCTGCGGAGGAACAACCTACAATGAAAGGAACTTGTAAGGATATGGTTATCTGAGTCGACGTGAGGATCCAAACGAGAGACTAATTGGCTTTTATTATATATTTCGAATTCCGAAGTACACTATAGGTGATACCCTGATCTGATGTGTAATTCAACTGGAGCGTCCCAGACAAGTCATTCAGGTGAACCGACACCATTGCCAATCAACGCAGAACATCAGCAGACTGCCAATCAACCAACTGGCAGTTACCCTGTTTTACCTCAGAAACACTGGACTGTGAACAAAACATTAACGAAACAGCTTGATTGACTGAAACAAAAGACATTTCAATTAGTGTGGCACAAAATTGTATGAAGAACTGTGTAGAATGAATTCAATTTGAATTCAATCAATCCGAATCGTATTTAGAATAATGTTCCGTTGACCAATAAAGAGAAGCATATCATATGGAAATTACTGAGATGGAAATTCACCAAATATTGGCGTGAAGGAGCTCGGTTGTGATGTGACAACGCGAACTATAGTATAGGTTAGGTTGAGTCCAAAGTGAGTCGGTCTATTCGACTTTCCACCGCAACCCGCAAGGGTTTATTGTGGCTCACATATCTTCACACTAGACGAAATAAACCCAGCTTCTCAATGAAGCCGATTAGTTTGTATGGTGAGTAGTCAGAAGGCACAAAGTGTCTTCTGCTCTGCTGTTTCATCATTTTACAAACAGAGGCGACACACACACTGTCTTCCGACAGTCCGAGTATCTGCATATAATGATTTAAATGACAGTGACCTGTAAGAAGGCATGTTAGACGTTGTAGTTCATCCCTACTGTAGTCCCATAACTGTTTGGTATCGAGCTTCGAAGGATAAATGAACGCCTTGGAGCGAGCCAATCCTGGAAGATTCTGCCAGAAGTCCATGAAACTTTTTGCCATCCAGGTGTTCAATCTTTGTTTGGTAGAGCTTAAAGCGATGCCAATGACAGGTTCTGGTCCGATGAAGCTGCTTGCAGCACCCTTCTGTGCAAGGGAGTCAGCAACCTCATTACCTTATCCAGGTCAGTATGGCCAGGAACCCAGACCAGAGACAATCTGTTAAGTATTCCTATCGAGGAGAGTCGTTTTTGGCAATTTGCTACCAATTTAGACGTTGCTCGGTAGGAGCCAAGAGCTTCCAACGCCACTGAAGAGATTTCAGCTGATTGGCTGTTAAAGAGGTAGTCGGATAATCAAGGTGGAAGATTTCCACTTGACCACTCCGACTTTTTTTCAAGTTCAGTTATTGGATCAGGAGTTGGAGAGTTAAGAAGCTCTCGCTCCTGATCTGAAGTTACAGGGAGGTCAGTTGGAGTCGTAAGCTCGACATCCATCTCTTCTGTAGACTCAACGTCAGAAAAAACATTTAAATTTACTCTGTCCATAAAAGTCCCACGAGTAGCTAGGGAAAGAAGGTCAATCACGATTGAGCCATCGTTAGGATGCCATTCAATTAGGGAATAACAGAACCACAAATGATTCTGTAATTCCCGTATCCAGCGGGCTATGTGGAAGCAGGCATCTGATGGCCGGTTTGTTCAACCCCCACATTCCAAGCCAACGCACTCACAAAAGCAGCAGGCACAGTGGTTCAGGCAGTGAAAGATGAACAAGGACAGCCAACCCGCCAAACTATAGTATAACAAGAGATATGTTCACTTCTATTTCAATTACATTTTTTTTTTGTAAAATTAGAAATAATAATATTTTGTTAGGAAACCCCTAACGCTGGGCAACCCCACTGGAAGTCGCGTAACTTGAGGTGATGATACCTGTTCTGTTTTCATATTTCTGTTTCTGTTTTTGTTTTCCGTTAACCAGCTGTCGCACCCCTACGAACGACAACCTTCAGAAGTTGAAACTTGTGCGAGCTAAGGATTAATGAGGTCTTACCTTTTAACGTGTGATTCCTATTTGAAATTCGACATTAGGTAGCGTTGTTGTATTGTCAGTAAGAATGAAGCGAGAAATGACAATCATGCCAAAACTTTTCTAAACGCTGGACTATTGTAATGAAGTATAAGTTGGGTATTTTATTTTTCATCAAATATTAATTACCAATGTGTTTTCGTAGAAAAAAGGAACCTTTATCAGCTTCTAGTAATAATCTATAAAGGTTAACCAGAGCCAAGCTATTTAATATATTACATTAAATTCAAAAATAAAAAAAATCATGTAAAACATTAGGAATAACACTTCTCTCCTTTTTTTGTGTACGGCAAGTAATGTGTTTGCTCGTAAGGGCCGTGGGTTAAATCAGACAGATAAGTATAAATATGTACAAAAAATTGATAACAAGGGCGCCAAGTAGTTTCTTGTGCACCGACTAGCCTAAACCTGAAATGAAACTACTAAACAATCCAGATACGCGAAAATAATAAGGTGGAATACGACAAAGGAATAAGAATAAAAACGTTGAATGTTGCTTCCCCAAAATACGCCTGTTCAACGGATTTATTTTTCACTTATACTACAAACTAAACGCTTATACAAAGGCGAAGACAAAACTATTCGGAAACACTTATTCAGCGAGGTTCATTGCTTTCGTAAACAATAATGTCAGAATCTCGCAAAATCAACACCATTAATAAAACTTCTAATCGGTACTTATCTAGCTGCTAGCGATGTGTAGATTCCTATGGCCTGCTACTAGGCAAATTCGTGAGAAGCTCTCAATTCCACGTCCACACGGTCGAAATAGGAACACCACCATCCATATGACTTCGGAAAATTTGTGGTTTCGTCGCTACGTACAAGGCAATGAAGTTCAAAAAGGTCTGACCCCATCCGCTTCGACGTGTTCTCAAAGGTAGCACCGTCCAGGCGAAATTTCGATTTACCATATCAGAGAAAAACATCTAAAAAAAAGTATTCTTGTATATAATTGATTTCGCGATACATCCGCGCCCAAAAAAAATAATGAGTGACAAAACTATACGCTTATCTCTCGATGCTCGACTGCCCTAACAGATGTTTTTAAACGGTCCGGAAGAAATAATTCATTCGATAAAATTCATCCCAATCGATAATAAGGATATTGTAAGATATCGAAAATGATTAACCTGATAGAGATTCATGTCTGGCAGACCCAACCTGCAATAATTTTTGCTTTTCTACAAGATTACGTAAGCAATGTTAACTGAGAACAATTTGCTTGTGGACCTGCAATCTAGTTACCCCCAAACAAATAATTTTAATTTTGTGAGTACCATTAGAACATTATCCATTAACCTCTGAAAAGTAGTGAGAGATCTTTTTATTCCCATAGATAGTCTCTTGTAATGATAGTGACCCCAGAATGAAAAAGCAGTACAAGGTTTTGATTCATCACAAAATTTGATGGAATCCCTGGACTGAATCGAAGCCTGAAAAGTATTTTTATTTATTTAGCTACCTAGCTGAACTGGGATATCTGTTATATTGGGTAAAGAGTTGGCATCAGCTTCAGTGATATCATTCAGTTTTCTAAAATCAACTAGGTACTAATCGTAATTTTTGTTTCCTTGATTATCAGGTTTTGCAGGTACAATCAAAATAGGACTTTTATATGGAGGAATGCTGTTTTCATTCATTCCACAACATTTTCTAGATCTTGCACTTCTTTTTAAAATGCAGTATTTCTGCAGGTCGTGCCTCCCAGACCCAATACCTGCAAGGTTTATTTTCAATTTTATGAGAAATGTGGAATTTTTTCATTGAAAAAACATCTTCATAATATATNTGAATAAATGAATAATTTGATACTGTCAAGTCAGTGGTTGTCAGAAATGGTTTGAAAAACTTTCGACACATATATGAATGGTTCCACTGAAAACCCATGAGTTAATTTATTACTTATGAGACAAGTCTAGTATACGAATCCATCTTAAAGTTAGTAATGCAGTTGACCAAAGTGGCCATAATGTATGCAATGCACATTGAAAATATATTGAGATAGAGGGAGTTAGAAATTGGTGTAAAATCAACTCACCATGCTATTTTCTTCCACATGTACATCAATATGGTGCTCGATATCATGTTCGTCATTTCTCTTAACAACGACCTCATGCAACTTCATGTCTGCTAAAAATTTCGTGAATCCCTCCAAAGTCATTTCTTCCCCATTACCATACATCATGAATATTTTCCTAATATAATCTTGTTCTGTTTCACTATTTACATCACTATTATAGCTGTTACGTTTCACCTTCCTGTTGCTAGGATGTCCCAATTCGATAGCCTTGTCATCGTGAGCAGTCCCGATCGATACTTGGTCAAATTTTTGTTTTTCTCGGGATGTAATTTGAAGCTGTTCGATAGCTTGTATATTCTTTGGATCATAGTAATTTTTGTGGCGAAATATGTTCTCTTGTCTGGTGGCAGCATGAGAAGCGCACGGCGAGTGTGTTGCACAAATGAAACAGAAAATGCATACTGATAGTACATGCCGGGACATTGTTACAGGAATCTGAAACAGAAAGCAGTATGTAGCTATACCATAGTGCTGAGGGACCAAAAAGACCAAAACACATGTCTATTGTTTGCCTTTTTCTGAATGCTGTATCTAATAACATTATCTCTCATAGAATTTTGTTTAGATTGAACATGCCTGAAGAAGCTATTGTATACTAAAAAACGGTTTATGAATTATTTAGTGAATATGTTATGAAGTGTTAGTTTAATATGTAAACAATATGAGCAGAAGTTGCTAGGGGTAGAATCTAAAAATTATATTTACCTTTTGATTCATACACATACTTTCAATGAACCAATAATTGTGAATTCAGCTCACTGAAAATCTAAAACACAAACATTTAAATAAAATACAAAACACAATTCAGGTAGACTTATCACTCCTTATATTATTTACCTAGGCAATAAAAAAACTCTATCAAATAATATTGGAGCCACCTCATCATATATTTAACCCACAAAAAACTAAAAGATTCACAAATACTTTCAACACTTCAATAATGTACTCATTTTAAAATCATTTATTTCAGAGACAATATATTATTTATCAGTGCTTTTAATCTACAGTAACATTCATAAATCAAGTGATAACAATCAAACAATCCAAAAAATTCATAGTATTCAAATAGGATAGAGGTTGATTCTAAAAATTCAAAGTAATTCACAATGTAATTCATTTTTTCAGTTTTGGTTTCAGGTTTCATATTGGCCAATCCACTTAGCATCTAGAAGTATATTTCATTTCTGATAGTTCAACTAAATTATTTGCAAAGGAATAAATAAAAAAATAGTTCATTGAATATAACATTTTACACAGGTTATAGGAAAATATTAGAAGAAGTGAAAGGATGCTACACCAAATTTGTTATTGGAAATTGAACTTGTCTCGTTATGGAACTGATTCAGGTGAGAAGTTAAGAATAACCAACCTTCAAACTCTTGAGAATAGGCGCAAACTGTGTATAATATTTATTTTTTTTCACATAATTATGAACAATAACATTGATTGTTCATAATTCCATAACAACTCATAATAGTTAAGCTTTTTTATTTGTGAAATCATCGAAGTGTTTATGAAAGTACTGCTTTCACTAGTTGACTGCTAAAAAAATTACAATGAAATACTTTTCATTCGGGAGGGCAAAACCTGATGTGATGTAGTACCATTTTTACCATTGCATACACACGAGATTTATGATATATTTTGCTTGAATATATTTCATAATGGCTCCAATATGGTTCACTAAATGAACTGTATTACAAATAGAAAACAATAGAACTGTTGAGAGAGTGAAGTCAACTATGTAAGGACTAACCAAATTTTTCTGCTGTCTCCCAATATGATGAGGAAAAGGAGGCTCCTCGGATCATATGCGCAATTAGTCAAATTGATACACAAAATAAATAAATTGTCAAAAGCAGTAACCCAAGACGGTTAAATAGTTGGTTTTAGAGTGATCTCCGACAAGGCAGGCAAAGCACTGATCTTCAAGAAATATATCGCTGGTTGGGCATGTTCAGAATTCAACTTCAACTCTCTCATTTCATGAAACCAAAATCATGTATTGAAAATAAGAATTTGAAGTAACCATATGCATATGCCTAGAGAGGGTAATCAATGTGTAAATTAATTATTGAATTATTGAAATTAGGAAAAAAATCCTTACATGTTGATAAAATATAACCTTAAACTAGTAATGAGTTGATATTCAATAGTATTTTTTTCATTGAGTCTTTTGTCATTTTGTACCATTTGGAATGTTTTGATATCTATTTATGAATAAATGAATAATTTGATACTGTCAAGTCAGTGGTTGTCAGAAATGGTTTGAAAAACTTTCGACACATATATGAATGGTTCCACTGAAAACCCATGAGTTAATTTATTACTTATGAGTCAAGTCTAGTATACGAATCCATCTTAAAGTTAGTAATGCAGTTGACCAAAGTGGCCATAATGTATGCAATGCACATTGAAAATATATTGAGATAGAGGGAGTTAGAAATTGGTGTAAAATCAACTCACCGTGCTATTTTCTTCCACATGTACATCAATATGGTGCTCGATATCATGTTCGTCATTTCTCTTAACAACGACCTCATGCAACTTCATGTCTGCTAAAAATTTAGTGAATCCCTCCAAAGTCATTTCTTCCCCATTACCATACATCATGAATATTTTCCTAATATAATCTTGTTCTGTTTCACTATTTACATCACTATTATAGCTGTTACGTTTCACCTTCCTGTTGCTAGGATGTCCCAATTCGATAGCCTTGTCATCGTGAGCAGTCCCGATCGATACTTGGTCAAATTTTTGTTTTTCTCGGGATGTAATTTGAAGCTGTTCGATAGCTTGTATATTCTTTGGATCATAGTAATTTTTGTGGCGAAATATGTTCTCTTGTCTGGTGGCAGCATGAGAAGCGCACGGCGAGTGTGTTGCACAAATGAAACAGAAAATGCATACTGATAGTACATGCCGGGACATTGTTACAGGAATCTGAAACAGAAAGCAGTATGTAGCTATACCATAGTGCTGAGGGACCAAAAATACCAAAACACATGTCTATTGTTTGCCTTTTTCTGAATGCTGTATCTAATAACATTATCTCTCATAGAATTTTGTTTAGATTGAACATGCCTGAAGAAGCTATTGTATACTAAAAAACGGTTTACCTATGAATTATTTAGTGAATATGTTATGAAGTGTTAGTTTAATATGTAAACAATATGAGCAGAAGTTGCTAGGGGTAGAATCTAAAAATTATATTTACCTTTTGATTCATACACATACTTTCAATGAACCAATAATTGTGAATTCAGCTCACTGAAAATCTAAAACACAAACATTTAAAATATGAACAGTTTTAGATATTTCAAAATAAATTGTAGACCAAGGTTTTCGTCCTAAATCACGAATCAGGATTAATAAAGAGATGAATAGGATATCGGCTTCAAAATCTTCACTTATGCCATGACCATAAATGAAGAAATGCTTGCTGGGCAGATTAATTAGACCATTTTTTTCCGAATGATTTTGTCAGCGTACACGTATTTCAAACAAACTTTACACCGGTTCATACCTCAAAATCAGAGTTTGATTTTATGAACTATACACTGTTTTTCATCTTCCACCACTAATTTTGTTCTATTGAAATTTACTCAAATTCTCTATTTTCAGTTTGGTACACCAAACCAATTTTCTCTGCTCTGCTCACCAGTGACGTTATAATATGGAATGTCCATTGAAAAGAGAACATCAACTCCAACAACTAAAAAAAGATGTCGAGATTCACGTCTTGGCATTTACGTCACTTATACATTTACTCAAATTATTACCTAGGCTACGCCCTATTCTTTTTTTTTTTCAATGAGTGACATTATCAGTAGGATCATCAAAGTAAGTTAGAGTAACATACTGTTTAGTATCATTCTTTGAAACTGGTAGACCTGGTTCAATGCTTGTTTCTGCAAATTTATAGAAATAATCAAATCAATAATTTTTTCCTCGTAACCGTTGTTAACAGCATATGTTTTATGAAAATCAGTTCTCATTGAAAATTGCTTTCTGAAAGTGGAATATTCAATAGTATGTGAATCATAATATTTGATGATGTTATTTTACATAGATATGGATGTATAGATGAATTGTGTTTAATGATGTCATCAGTTAAGATGGTTTATGGAAAATTGCAAAATCTTATTCACTTCCATCTCAGTCGTGAACTTAATCGAAGGGTGAATAGAATTAACAAATTTAATAAACTTACTCAGCTGCTGGCCTGTACCAGTAAACCAGATTAGGATTAAATCTTCACATATGTACCAGTATATGAAGAATTGGCGATTGGCATGGATGTTATTCTCTAGGTCGTCTATGAAAATTTCAACTAACAAGGGATTCATGAAGTTACTCATTATTATACCCTCGTTACAAAAGTAAAAATTGAATGTAATTTCAAGCTAGGCAAATATTTAGTGAATCTAAAATTTTCTGTTTGAATATTGGATTAACATGGTTTTTTTCTGATCGAATGATATTATGATGCGTTAGCGTTATGACGGAGTACGTTATGAAAAAGTACGTTATGATGAAGTATATTATGATGAATTACGTTATGAAACTGTACATTATGCCGCTGTACGTTTCTATCTTGTACTATATGATCAATTGCGATTTCTATCGTTTGATGTTATGATGGAATAAATTTCTGTGGATTACGATTTCTATCTTGTACATAAAGATTCATTAGGTGTCCTCAACTAATAATCTATAAAACAATAAAAAATATTTTGGTGGATTTTGTAAAGTATTTGAAGTCGTAAAACGTAAAATAATTGGTATGTCTGTGGTCTATTATCATAGATATGATAATGAATATGGATTGGCCGTGACGTCACTTTTAATTCCACCTGCGGATGACACAATGTTTGGGCCACTACGTCACAGCACCATGTGACAAATTAAATTCCAAAATTTTCACAATGAATGGAAATATTCAACACGTGAAACATCGTTACCTTGTATCTAACGTTAAGGGTGTGCGTGACGTAAATGCCAAAATGTGTATCTCTTCATCTTTTTTTAGTTGTTGGAGTCAATGTTGTCTCTTCAATGGCCGGTCCATACCTCATATTATGACGTCACTGGTCGTAAGCATGTCATATCACAGATTAAGTACCTAATCTGTGGCCATATCATAACCTGTTTATATTTTTCATCCTAAATCCAAAATCCTAACCAAAGAAATCCTAACATCAAAGGACAAAAAAAACCAATAAATATCGATAAAATAAAAATGCTTCCTCCTGCTAGTGGAACAGGTGTTTATCTTAAAAATTCTGCCAAAGTTATCAGATTTGTCAGACAGAAACTGTCAACATAAACATAGTTGTTGAATTATTTTGGTAATTATTTCATTTCAGTTGCATGATCTTAGAAAATTTTCTAATTTGTTTGTCTGTTTATTCAGTTCACAGTATTGTACAGGCAGGAAGTTTAATAATTTTTTTTTTATTTTTAGGACTGGCAGGATTTTTCCCTATACACCCAAATAGTTTTATGAATGCTTGGAGGAATAGGTTGGCAATGCAAAAGGCCAAACAAGAAGCTTCTGCCGAAGAGAAAGCATGATAGATCTGTAAGATTATTTAAGAAATTTTTAAAAGAGATGTTAAAATCCAGAACCTTTGAAACTAATGGACGATTCTCCTTAAAACAAATGATTTTAATCTTTGATATTTCTTGAAAAAGTTTCTGATGCAGTTTGTGATTCAGTTGTTTTCATTATAAATTTATTCAATAAATATTGTATATCTTTGAAACTTATTTTTATCTGCACAAGTGACTGCAGGAAACACACCAAAACGGCTAGAGATTGGTGCAGGTGTAACTATTTTGAAGGTCTGCAGGTCAGCAAATTGTTCTCAGTTAACATTGCTCACGTAATTTTGTAGAAAGGTAAACATTCTTGCAGGTCGGGTCTTCCACACGTGAATATTGACAAGATTAATCATTTTTGTCAGAAAAATTTTCCAACCTCCACCCAAAAGCTTGACAATTCTCAAAAAATTGAAAATACATTTTGTAGGTCGGCGGAAATTCTAGCAGGTCAGGTCTCTCAGACATGAATCTCGACCAGGTTGATTATTTTCGATAAAAAAAATGTTTTTCCTCTGTTTTTTCCGTATTGAAAAATAAAGAACGTTCATTGAAAAAATTTGATATATTATTCATCACATTACTACAGTATTGCTTCCATTTTTTTTTCAGGTTATTAAAATATCAAATGTAAAAAACAAGTTTCCATTGTACAAGTTTAGAGCTCACAGATATGCATTATATGTGTGGGTTGGCTGATAGTAATGTACTGAAAGCCAGGCGGTTGTATGAAGAATAATAATAATAAATAAGCT